GGGGGGGGGTTCAGTTCAAATCTGAGCGGCGGCGCCCCCTATCTCCCTCCCCACAGCGGGAGGCTGGAAAGGGGCGCTCCTTCCTCCTTACTTCACTAGGGAACTTTTACCTTGCAGACGCCAGCTTACTTGCCAGGGGCCGCTGCCTCCCACCCAGCGGGGCCGAGCTCCCCGCACCTCCCCTCCAGCCCACGCCGACCAGGCCAGGCTAAGCCCCCAGCGCGCTGGGAGCTCCGGAACTCCCTGGGGAACAGGTCAGGACAGAGCCCTCGGCAGCGCCTTGGGTGGGCGTGCAGAGCAGGGAGACCGCACACGGGGAAGGGCACCTAAGGGACCTCAGCTCTGCCCTTCCCCACAGCAAGGGAACGAGCCCACAGGAGCCCCTCTCTCGCAGCGCAGGGAGCGCCACGCCACCCCTTGTTCCAGAGCAGTCCGGAGGCAGATTACTTTGTGTCTTACCTCTGTAGTTGCTACCCTGGAGACTTCGGCTCCAAGCCCTGACGCAAGGGAGCCCCGCTCGGCAGCGTTCCCAGGGCAGGCTGCCCTGCTTACGGAGGGGTGGGGGACTGAACTGTGGATTGGATTGTCGCACAGCCCTAGCAGCTCCCCCCTCACTTATTTCAGGCGGCAGGACACAGAGGCCCCCGCCCCGCCTCCCAGCTCTAAGACGGAGCTCCCGGCTGGGCGGACCCAAGCAGCCCCGGGTGTTCCAAAGGAGCTTCGCTGCTGGTGGCTGGAGAATTAAGGCCTGGGACGGCAGCGGGAAGGGAGTGCGGGCTTGAGCAGCGCCAGGCGGGCAGGCAGCAGGGCTCCCATTACGTTCCTCTCCTCCTAGTTCCCGGAGCTCTTGATCCAATTAGTCGGCTGTCACTGCGGTGTGAGCCAGGCCGCTGCCCGACAACAGGTGGGGCTGTGTTGTCCACACAGCGAGGAGCAGAGATAAGAGCAAAACCACGTGCCCGAAGTGGCCTGGGAGCTGTTGGCACCAGAACATGTTTAGCCATTTGTATAGTTTAACAGTAATTTTTAAATAGCGCTGAGTTTGCTTTTTCACTTCTTTGCTGAGTAGAAGCCTGGGGAGAGTAGGAACTGACACTGCAAAGAGCTTCTGAGAGTTTAGCTACAGCAACAGGAGTGACCCAAGTTTGACTTGGCCCAGGTACTGCTGCAGAGACCTGCCAGGACAGTTAGTGAGAGCCAAAATTTGCCTGAGTCTGGGCTAGGCACTACTCTGAAGAAGCTCATATTGCTGGAATCCCAGTGGGCCACTGGTGAGGCATCACTGGAAAGATCACCTCTCTGGAGTCTGGGTGGACCATCAGTAGGAGAAATCTGGGATAGGAGGCTCTTTCTGCATTTCTTAACACGTTTTCACGTCTGTCAGATAGGGTTGCCAACCCTACAAGATTGTCCTGAAGTCTCCAGGAATTAAAAAAAAATTTTAATTAAAGGTTATGTCATGTAATTAAACCTCCCAGAATGTGTCCACCAGAACTGGCAACCCTAATTTCAGCCAATTAGCTGACCTGTAAGGATCATTGAACCAATCTGGCTGGCTGAAGGGAGACTAAGGGAAGGTCTGGGAGACTCATCTGTTGTTGTTTCTCATACTCCCTCCTCCCCCAAAAAAGTGGAGAAGCCACTCCCCATCCATTTCCTCTTGCCATATTTTAGCTTTTGCTCTTCCTGGTGCAGGAAATCAGGAGTTTCACCATTGCCTTCTTTGGCTGTTGTTTTTGTGTCCCTCCCTGCTCTACCTAACTCATTAGGAGTCTGCAACTTTTTATCTGAAAATGCCATCTACTTTCTGAACAATTCGGTGCTTTTAAGTCCCTAAACTGGAGTTAATGTAGTGTAGCCTGAACCCTCCATGTTCAAGATACCAAAGTTTATGTCCCTCAAAGCAATTGGCTACGATATATGACATGATTGGGAGTCCTAAGCAGGAATATTTTGCCCCCATCATATACTAATGATTAATAGGAGGCCTTCTGGAGTTATTTGGGACTCTAAGCAATTGCTTAGTCTGCTTTTGCTTACTGCTGGTTCTGAGGGCAGGTTTTATATTTTGGGAGTCAGTGAGACTTGGTGCTCCTCTTTAATTTTTCTCATTAAATTATAGGGTTCCCAATGATGTTCATTCAATAACAGTAACAAGAAAAGACTGAGGACCTTAGGGCTGAAAGGAAAGGGCAGCTCTGCCCAGCCCAGGAACCTTAGGAATCTATTTCTTGGTGCTGTTTTGTTTGCCAAGTGTTCTGATATTTGTAGATATCTGGAACTGATAGATAATTTAAAAGTTGCCTCAGGTTTCCTGGGAGCTAGAATGGTAACTCCTGCATCGTGGGGCCCTTCTGAGATGCATACTATAGAAAAGAGAGTCTAATGTCTGAAACATTTTTGTTCCCTTTACTCTGATAATTATGTTTTAACTTGAGTGGTCATCCTAAAACAGTCCCACAGATGGGCCCTGTTTATAATAGATCAAAAAGTACATCCTTTCCACAAAGAGTGTTTGAAAATCCTTACCCAACCTTAAGTTAGCTCCATGGGAAATAATAGGTAGCAAATGAATTTCCCTTTTCATATTTTCAGGGGGAAAAAGAGGTTTGATCAGTGTTTTTCAGCATAGTGTGATGTTCACTCATGGCTTCATTAAATTCCAACATGTTAGTTAAATTACCTACTTTACATGCATTTCCAAAGTATGAAAATGACAGAAACCTTGGGTAATTGTCATAGGAGAAGTGTATCCAGGTCACATCGTTTGGGATGTGATCTTAGTACACCTTCCTTTTGTACAGGATGGGATTTCATTTTCTGTTTGGGGTTTTGTCTCCTGTGTCCATTTGTCCATGTTGTCTATTACTGATCATGGCATGATGCTCTATTGCTATCTTTATCTCTTCTATCTTTTTCCTTTCTTCTTGGGTAGGAGTGGCTATAAGGAGGCAGAGCCTCCTGGTACAGGAGGAGGTCGAAGAATGTGATATTCTCTATGACATGTTTTCTCCTCTTTTTGGACTACATTCTTGCTTCCATATACTGACCTAAATTGAGTTACTGTGATGTTACTTTCGCATCAAATAGCAAGACTTTGTCACAAATGAGGAGCTTTGGAACAGAGCAGGACAAGAACCACTTGACATTCAAATCAAGAGAAGGAAGTGGAGATGGCTAGGCCACACTCTCAGAAAACCATCATCCAGCATAGCCCATCAAGCTCTCACATGGAACCCGCAAGGAAAACGCAAAAGAGGAAGACCTCGGACACCTTGGAGAAGATCTGCTGAGATTGAAGGACAACAACTGGGGTACTCCTGGAGTCAGCTAGAAGTTTTGGCTCAAGACAGAGTGAAGTAGATGACCTATGCTCCACTCGGAGTACAAGGGTTTAAGAAGAAGAAGAAGATGTTACTTTCTCTTAAAATGGCATAATCAAGTAGTCAGATAGAAGCAGGAGCTTTGGATTTCTTATAGCAGAGATCAAGGTATTGGGCAGCAAAAAGCCTATTTATATTATATATACCTTTAAGCATACCAAGCCACCAAGTCAGGAGCCACAGTTACAGTGTTTTTTTTTCTTTACCTTGGTACAACTTAGTAGAAATGATCATAACCATATAAAGATTATAGGTCACTGACAAAGGATGGAAAAATAAGGATAAGATCCCATCCATCCTACAGTTAACAGGATCCCCAGACTTGGTTGCCTTCGTACTATCAGTGGGTCTTAAGAGACTAAAAATTGTAAATAAAAACAACAAAAATATTATATTCAAGTAAACCCTATCACTGGGATTC